GTAGTTTGTTTCCCCACAGCTGTGGGCTTCTTCATGTTATTTGTCATTTCAGCTCTAGGAATAAAATATAAATGGTGACGATTTTAATTTCTCATAGGATTTGCTCGAATGTTTAGAAAAACTCTACGTTTCGAGTGAAGGGTTAATTTGGAGCATGGGGTTGCTTAATATATTACACTGAGCTTTCCTAGCCTGCTGTTATGATTTGAAATAGCAGTGTGTCGTAACACAGCTGGTCAGATGAAGCTTTTTTGGTTTTGGGTTTTTTTTTTGCCAGGGGTGGGTCTTTGGCTGTATGATAGTGGCAGGGTAAGGATGCTTAGTGGGATCTTCCCTAGACAAGATGCGTAGGAGTCAATGTGGGTCAAGTTTGTCCCTCCCAAACCCCCAGGCCATCTGTATCCCGTCTCTCCTCCAGCATTGGCTTCACGTGCAGGAGCGCGCAGCCGTTGATGCACGCTGAGACCCTGTAGTCGTGCCTCCCGGCCCTGCGCTCGGCGCAGGGATGTTGTTTCTTTGGCGATTATGTCGTACCCTGGCAGGATGAAGTTGCTCAGACTCCCACGGGATATGAATCATTGTGGTATGACACATTCATCGGTTCTCACGCTGCTGCCTCTGAGAAGAGGCAATACAACTTGAGCTACACAAGCTCTAAATATAAAACCTTAAATAGGAGTTATTCTCCTCTGACCGCTAACAAAAATACTGAGGATGATCAACAAAAATACCCTTTGCCATACTGGTGTCGCAGAACTGGAAGGCGCTTCTGGAATTGCTCGGTTCAGCCCCTGCCAGTGGAAAGAACCTCATCCCAGATGACTGTAAGTCAGCTTTCCTGTGGCGGTGCTTGGTGATGCTGCTTAGACTTTTGCGTACACAGCGCACTTCCTTCTGGAAGCCTCGCGCTACTATCAGAAGAAGTGAGCTGGTCGGACCTGGCCTCCCTCTCTTGCACATTCGGTTGGTTTTACTCAAGTTCTGGCTTACTCTGGAGGCAGAGGGTTGTTCTTCACTGCTCTTTAAAAAAGGAAATTCTGTGGAGATGGACAACAGCTTGTTTTCTGAGATAGCTGCACGTGGAAACCCCTGTTGTTCCACTTATTTAGACTCGCTCAGTTGATAGAAGTGCCCAGGACAACCTCAGCTTTCCTAGACTCCTCCAAGCCATGTAGCATCCTCCCGTATGCCTGTCCTAAGGAACCAGGGTATGTGTGTTTAGCCACAGGTGCCTGGAAGGAGCAGCAGGAGCCTGTCCTAGGAGCCTGAATCGGCAGAAACAGCAAGCTGTTAGGTGGGCACACCGGGCGAGACAAATCTGGTCTGTGTGAATCGACAGTGAGAACTGCCAGCAGTTATTGAGGAGAGAATTCAGTATTGTAAGGTGTCTGTGTAAAAGGTACCTGTCCCAAGTAACCCAGTTAGCACTACTTAATTTCAGGCCCTGCAATGCAAGTCACAGGACTGGAGAGAGCAGGAATTTGTCTAGCGTGCAGGCTGCTGTACGGACAGCGATCAGAAATAAGATGAAAGAAATGAGATGGGAGAGGGGGCTGATGGCCCGCTCTGCTGACCTGCCCCGCAGGGCAATGTTGCTGCAGGCTCCAGGGGTAAAAGCGCGTGTTGCTCGGCATCGCCTGAGATCTCACTGCAGGAGCTCTTCAACCAGGTGCTTTGAGCAGATCAGCTCAGGCAGCGACAGCCTCCCGTGCCGTCCCTGGGCAGGCTGAATTAAAAGGATCACTGGACTGTCGCTTGATAACTTTGTCTTTTACTAATTCACCTGGTGTCTTCCTTCTCCAGTTACGCGGTTATTGCCTACGGCTGCGCCAGCTGCCCCAAGCTGACCTGCGAGAGGGACGGCTGCCAGACGGAGTTCTGCTATCACTGCAAGCAGATATGGCATCCCAACCAAACCTGCGACATGGCCCGCCAGCAAAGGGCACAGACGCTCCGAGTACGGACCAAGCACACGTCAGGCCTCAGTTACGGACAGGAATCCGGACCGGGTATGGATTCATGTGGTTTTTGGTTACTCAGTGCTGCAGTTACGCCTGTGAAGCTGAGAAAGAGCCACCTGTGTGCAAAATCCCGTCCCGTCAAAGCAGGGGGGGGTGTTAGTGCCCTGCGGGGAACGCGGCTGCCTGGCACAGCTGAGGGTCTCCAGCGGCCACGGGTGAGAACAGCTGTGAAACTCAGAGTCATTTCCCCTTCTTCTGTGCGTTAGAACAAATCCGGCGGGCTCCTCCAAGAATGCAAAACAGATCAGCAGGTGATGATGTGCTTTGGGTCCTTCCACGTCACGGCAGCTCCCCTCATCCGCCCCAGCTAGGCTTGTGGCTGTTTTGATCTTGGATGTTCTCACTTCTTGCTGATCTAAACCCTGAACAAATAGGCACTTTTTAGCCTTGCAACTTCAAACTTGCCTGCTGCAACTGTTGTAAAGAGTAGCATTCATGCCTAGCTGAGTGTGGGGAGCCTTGCTCCGTGCACTGTTAGATGCTAGTAATGTCAGGTACAGAAAAAATGCCAACCCACAGACTCCTACACTGCCTGGTAGGAGCTGCTGTGTCTGCTGAGTTAGTGTTTGTTAAAAATAACTGTATTGACTCTGAAAGTGGGCAGTAAGGCCATTTCATAAAGTCCCACCCTACCCCCAAACAAAGCACCCTGCTTTTCCTTCTGTGTCAGGAGTTAAAGTGTTAACACACTTACTTAGAATGGAGCTGTCGTGGGTGGTTCAGAGGTGGCTTGGTGGTATGTTGATGTTCAACGTGCCCCAGTTAGAGGTCCCTGATAATGGACACCATAGATACTAGCACAGCCTGCGGTACAAACCAGCAAGCAAAAAATAGCTCCTGA